CTTTGGGCTTGTCTAGTTTGGAGAAAAGGAGGCTGAGGGGCGACCTCATTGCTCTCCACAGCTTCCTGAGGAGGGGACGTGGAGAGGGAGGTGCTGTTCTCTTCTCCCTGGGATCCAGTGACAGGACGCGTGGGAATGGTTCAAAGCTGCATCAGGGGATGTTCAGACTTGACATCAGGAAGCATTTCTTTACTGAGAGGGTGGTCAAACACTGGAACAGACTTCCTAGAGAGGTGGTTGATGCCCCATGCCTGTCAGTGTTTAAGAGGCATTTGGACAGTGCCCTTAATACCATGCTTTAACTTTTGGTCAGCCCTGAAGTGGTCAGGCAGTTAGACTAGATGATCGTTGTAGGTCCCTTCCAACTGAACTATCTTATCCTATCCTATCCTATCCATCAGCAGAGCTCACGGGCAACTGCCCTGATCAAGGGTAACCTGTGGGTGTTTGTGTCCGTGGCTGATGTGGGGATTATATTCAAGTAAGAGAGCAGAATATACATGTAAAGTCATGTATCCATGAAGGGTGTTCTACATGTCTTGGTCAATTGCATTTCTCCAGACAGAAAAGAGCTACATCTTCCATCTGCTATACATTGTCCCGCTACTTCCTGTAAATAACAGCGACCAAAGCTGTCCAGGAAAAAGCAGAGCAGAACAGCAGAAATGCTCTCTAGTGCATATGGGCTTATGGTAATCTGGAAAATCAGCCCCACAATAACTGGGCAATGCATACTTCCCCACTGATCAAGTCACATCATAAACGGTAAGCTACTCTGACCCTGCTCACCTCCATCCCTTCTTGTTTATCAGGGAACAGCTCTGCAAAACCACTCAGGCTGCCTGATATTCTCTGTGCACGAGATCCTGTGACAGCAATCAAGCTGCCCAGATCTTTCATGTCAGACTCCAAGCTCTTTGTGTCCTTCCAGGGAAATAAAGTCGTTATGTACGTTCCTATAGCACTACTCAACTTTCACACTTGCTCTGCTGTTGCTGAGCAAAAACAATTACAAACACTGAAGCTTTCTTAGCATGGCTGAGTACGTTTATCCTGTTGAGCATTTCCTATGGTTGATCCAGAGCAGAATTCACTACCTGTTCCATCACCAAACCACACTACGTAGATGTACATGCATGTAGATAGACATCTCAACAGTTTCCAGTTCCCTACTGGAAACTTCTTCAGTCAAATAGCAGACAGTACCCTGTTCTCTACTCAAAGAGAGGCCAGACTTACCTCACCCAGGCTTGGGCTACTGTGATACTACTGCCCCAGCACCTGCCATTAAGTCACTAGCTACCAAAAGACTGAAGTGTGAACTCACAAACGGAGAAGTGAGGTGGGTCAGAAGGTCTGTGCCTTTCTTCCAAAACAGCAGGGCCTCAGGTACATGCCAACCCAAGTGCCTAAACCAACTACCCTCCTGGAAAAAATGAGAAAGGAAGGGCTGTAGCACTTCAGTGGCACTGAAAGCCAGCAACACCCCTTCACAATGGCAGTAAGAAGGCACAGATCCCTGCATAAGGGAAGCACGTTCCCAAATAGGGAATTGCAAACCCCAAAGATTTGCCACATTCCAGGTTCTGGTTCCTTTACTGAGCAGAATTTCAAGCTACTGCTAAATGCCCACTGTTCTCTTTTCCTACATGAAAGAAAACTCACCATTTGGAGGCTATCAATCTCCCTGCTGTCTTGTTGCACAGTGTCTTGGAAACTTGGTGTTGAGCACAGCACCTGTGTCTAAAATAGACAAGAAACATTCACTGTGAATCCTGACAACAGCAGCCAACAGTCTACTATGTTCAGACTCTGCGCGCACACTGCCCTCCTTTTGGTTGTATCCTCGCAGGTAATACAGTAGCCCATCTTCCAGTAATGAGGAACTGCTTACCAGGAAAGATCTCACATGCTGCATCTGTGACACTCTGCAAGGAGGAAAACTGCCAGTCAGGTATCAACAGGTGCCTGCATGCAGTAGGAAATTTCATTTCACCTATTTATGTGCAGTGCTAGTCCGAACTAGGGTAAATGCAATTTCTGTGTTCCATTCAAATCTTGGTCTTTCCCCTGAAGCTACTATAAAAGCAGTGCTTTCTTTTACAAAATGTAAGCCAGTTGTCTAAGAGGTGTCTTGGGTCTCTTAAAAAGCAACAGCAGCGTTTCACCTGAGAGACATACAGCGGGAATTACTTCTAGCTAGTGCGGGGCCAGAAAGATGTACATGTCAATGACTAAAACCCAACTCAAACCAGCCGTCTACTCGGAAGAGTAAGTTTGGAAGGATTGCCCATTACCATATGTTACAGAGTCCGCCCAAAAGGCCATGTACTTGCAACAAATGTTTACAAAAGCATAGAGGAAGCAGAGCTCAGAGAGTGAACCGTCCTGAGGTGCACACGCCTTTGCAAGTCATAATCTGCGTAGTGAAAAAACGTCCCCCTGCCACAAAAAGCGGGGGAGAGGAAACCCAGCTGCCTCACCAGGCTCAGACGTAATTATACGGAAGAGGGCAGTGTTGTCATTTCCCACATTAAATTTCACGCTCTCGAAACCAACCGATCTCATCAGCACACTGGACTGGAGGTTGTGCGAAA